TTTTCATTTACCACACTAATACATAATATAATTCAATATAATACAATATATTATAACATAATATAATTTTCAGTCCAATTGACGAAACGCTCACCACCACCAATATGTTACCAATGTATCGTTAACTATAGCTAGCTATCATAGGTTTTGGTTGGAACTGCAGAATTTGGAAGAAAATGTGGATAATCTTGGAAATATCAGTTAAAATGAGAAATTTACATTTATTAGATGACCAGCAGGAAAACATTTAGTAGAATCCTAGATGATGCTAACAACAAAAGGCTATAACATGTTACGTGGCAGGGGGCAAATGCATATTGAACATGTAGGAAAGCAAATAACTCTGACCTGAAAATAGGGCTGCACGATAAATCGCATTCGATATTTAACGCGCATCTTGTCAGTAAAGCCAGTTCTTTAATCAGCATAAATCTCACCTGCGGGCTTTCACATAGAGCAGCATTAATTACACAGAGCCGTTGTTCACCGACAAGCTGCGCAAAACATGCGCAAAATATGATCGTGGTTTTGCGCAGCTTGTCAGTGAACAACGGCTCTGAAAACTATTAAAAGACAACAGTGTTCCACTGACACCACTTACAATCTATACAACATAAAAACCCACATGATCATCGATCAGGAACTGCAAGATGTAGTGACGGTCAATAAACCACATGTCTGAAACATTTATCTGACATGGTAGACAATACAGCCTGTATGTGTCATGTTTCATTTGAAAAATGAACTCCAACAGCAATCCAACAGCAACTACAGCCAGTGTTTTCATATGCAGATCATACGGTCTCTCCTCTGAGAGCCGGCCTGGAATCGGGGTATCTCAATAGCCACGTTAATGCAAGTGTTTTGATGTAGTTGATTTTAACTACAGTATTAATACTGTAAAAGCAAAGCCTCTAGTTTTTCAGATTTTCTTCTGTCTTTTGCATTCATTTGTATTTGTATTTTAGTAACTGCACTCCAAACTCAACATTATGTACCACAAACCTAGAAGTAATTAAAGCTTTACTGATTAACCAGATTTTCCATCTGACAGAGGATACAGACATCACCAAGCACACAAAGCACTAACAAACACTGCATCCAGTACTAATACCTAAAAATAAATAGCTGCATGCATCAGTACTTAAATTAATTTTATTTTAAATGCATTACCTTATTTATAGTCTCTTATAAGTCTGCAGTGTGTATAAGGGGTTGTGCTTTTAGCACAATGTAGGCTTTGTATCTGGTCTTGTTGCTCTGTTACAGCTAGTTTAAAACTGCATCCATAGTCTCTAGACACTATTTCCCATTATAGGCATTTTTTTTCCTACTCCAAAAAATGTCCCATTGTTCTTGTGACTTCATCTGAATTAAGTCCGTCACACTGCAAACACACAAGGAATGTGTTTTTTTTAGGAGCTCTTGTTACAAACACACATACATATGACATTGAGAACAGAAAAAATATATATTTAAATAAAAGACCAAGGAAAATTTTTTTTAATAATAATAATAATAATAATAATGTGGTATACATCTGGAACAGAATATTTATGTACAGATTTGCGCATTCTGTATATACAGCTGTATAAATAAAAATATGTAATTTATTTACATAACATACAATAATATATAACTCCAAAAATCATACGGAATTGATCAAAATTATTCAAATAGACCAGTATCTGTTAACTATTAAACACTTGTTTTCATTAATTGAAATAACCAAAATAAATACTAAATTTTTTTAAAAAGCAACAAAATTAAAAATGTTAAAAAAGGCAAATACAAATATGAAAACCTAAATGAATAAAAAGCACGTACAATTTAATTAAATTTAAAACTGAAAATATAAAATTCAAAATTATAAACTATTATAGTATTTATTAATAATACAGGAATGACAGTGAAATGGACAAACTAAACACTTCACCTACTCGCTGAAATGAAATCTGAGCGAGTATAGTTTTATTTTAAAGCCACCCTCAGTGTATAATAACTGGGTGTTTTAAATAATAATAATCTGAAAAAGGGACAATTATAGAATTTATAGAAACACACACACACACACACAGTATATCAAATTTTAAAAAGCCATTTCATCAAGCATTTTTTGCAATTATTTCTGGCTTTTATTATTATTATTATTATTATTATTATTATTATTATTATTATTATTATTATTATTATTATTATTATTATTATTATTATTATTATTATTATTATTATTATTATTATTATTATTATTATTATTATTATTATTATTCACTTTAATAGCAACGAAAAGGACCCATTCATTGCTAATAAAGTGAAATTACTGAACCCAACCATAGGCATTTGCATTTGAAGTCTTCATGTATAGAACTGGAAAAATAATTTCTACTTAACTAAGAAACGACAAACACAGACGTCTCATTTCAGAAGACATTATCACAACACTCCTTTCAAGATTTCAATAAGGGCCCCATATTTGGTCATCCTAAAAAAGGACATTTTCAGCATGCATCTACACACACAAACATAAGCATGCATCTGACAAGATCTGAAATCTGGAAGTCATTTAAAAAAAGAAATTATATTCATTTAAAACTTCCACCCCTACCACCCAACCAGCACATGTTCTCCCCAGTCTGCTCACCTGGTAGATAAACGGGTCTCGCATACCCCTGTAGATACCATCAGACTGCACTTCAGGGCTGCCTTGTGAGGTATTTAATTGAACTTCATGCATAGCAAATGAAGCGCCCGTGAACACAGGTTATGAAGCACATTGAACTCAACACTGCGTGTGTTTTGAACGCGAGCACAGGGTTTACAAGCAAAAGCACCCAGATGGTGTGCAGCCATCGCTGCAGAATCACACGCTCAAATCATTTCAGATCTCGTCTCTTTCTTAGGCTACATTGTGTCCACAGAGGCGACAGAACAACGTGGAGTAAATGACGGCGAGCATGAATGTAGCTCAATAAATACGATCATGCAAAACAAAATTAAATATATCCTGATAACATGTCCATAATATACTAATTGCCGTGATTTAAGGCTTATTGTATCATGCGTTCACAATTCGCTGCTAAAATGGAGTGGGGCGCACGGCTTACCTGAGAAATCAGCCCGCGTTCATTGTTCTGTTACAGGGTAATACATTCCTCTCGATCCTTTCCAGCCACTATTGTTTGCGTGCTTTGATAAAGAGAGAGCTGGAGGCGAGCTGCGGGATTGGTGTTGTTGCTCCGGCGGTAACGGAAGACCGTTTAGTCGATGTCTTTGAGTCCTCTGGCTCTCAGCGTGTTTTATCAGATGAGATTTTGTGGAGGAGGCGGAGCCTCGGAGCAGCTTCTTTAAACAGAGCGCTTGATTGACAGTTAGCGGCGCTCTAACCATCTCAGCCGCTCTATTGGATTAGCTAGGTTTCAGAGTGACGTACAGGACAATCGTACAAACGCATAGAGGGGCTCTAAGGTTGGTCTGGAGCTGCTATGACTATAGTAGCAGGTTTTGTTTTTGACCAGTTTGACTGGTCTTTTACTTTTTTTTTAATCATATGCATTTTTAAAATCATGTGTGAGGCCCCTTGTGAAAGAAAAAAAAAATTTAATTTTACTGAATGTGCATATATACTTGCAAATAATATTATTGAAATAAAAGGCCACTTGTGTGTACTTGAAGAGAGTATAGTGGGCTTCAAAAGCATTATGTTTTAATAATATTTTGTCATGATTTACGGACTTATTTTGATGTGTTACTAACCTAAAGCACAAGTAAAGTGCTTTTATTCATAATTTTATATATTGTAATTTTGTAATAATTTAAAGTAAATATTTTAAATGTGCTAAACTGCAACTCCTTCGTTACAAGTGTACAATTACAAATATATTCAAATTGACATACACAAAAGAATGACAATAAAGAATACTTTAACCATATTTTAAAGACAATAAAAGTAATTCTGAAAATATAAAGATGTGCTTAAGTCCTAAGCAGCTCAGAAAAGCACTCTAAAGTTAAACTGTATAACACTGTATAAAACTTCCACGCCTATCACCTTACCAGCACATATTTAAATAATACAATAACAGTAAGTACACTTTTTAAAAGTATGCTAAAGTGTGCTTCTATTTCACAAGGTGTATGACTGTGTAATTGTAGATTGCAATAGTAGAGTCTCTTCAAGCAATCCAATGCAGATCCAGTAGTGATCATTGCTGGGTAGAAATGCTGACAACCTGAAACAACATCACGGAGATTTGTGCCAAAGTACTCTTGTGTATTTGGTGGAATTTAATCATAGACACATTAAATTACTTGTTTGCTATTTCTTCATGTAAAATCAGAAATATTTCAAATACTTCCCTTGCAACAGCAAATAGTCTTTAAACGTGCCATAGAATGCAAAAATCACTTTTATAAGGTGGTTGAACACAGTTGTGTGGTCGCAGTGTGTGAAAACAACCAGCCTATGGTAAAAGTCCACCCACTCATTGTTTTATAATCCCAATAAATCATAAATAGTCTCTCCAAACAGTGGTTCCAGATTCCTCACTACTATGACGTCATACTAGGGAAAGTCCCTCCCATCTGTGACAATCTCTGCCCTATTAGCATAGACTCTCTGTGCGTTCCAAACGGGATATATCGCCCTCCGAAGGGCACTTTGGAGTGGAACACAGGGACAGCCCTGAGTGAGAAGCAGCAGTCCGCCATTACTGTTTTCTTACTGTAGCTGCTGGAAATACAATGTCAGCGCCAACGAGCCATTACAAGTGTCATGTGTTGGGATGCACCAACGAACATAGGAGTCTCCATAGTCCACTGAGGACACGGTGGTTAAATTTCATTTTCGAAGGAAATGTCCCAGAAAAAAAACGGGAAAATCCTATACGTTTGTGCTAATCATTTTATGCCGGACTGCCTCACAAACGAGGGTCAGTTCAGTGCTGGAGTTGTGCAAAGATTGCTTCTGAAAGAGGGATTGATACCAACGCTTTGTGTGCAAACGTCCAGACTCCAGACAAAGTAAGCATCATGCGTCATATTTTGTTTTCCAAAAGAGCAGAGCATGAGCTCTTGAAGCTCCGTCCTCTTCTGAAAAGGGAGGCGGGAGCACCGGCTCATTTGTATTTAAAGGGACAAACACAAAAACGGTGAGTTTTGACTCATACCCTAAAAGTGGCAATTTCAAAAAGCTATAAAAAATTATCTGTGGGGTATTTTGAGATAAGACTTCACATACACACTGGGGACATCAGAGAACAATTTAAAATATTGCATCAATGCATTCTATGGCACCTTTAAGCTGATTACTGTTCCACATAGGGGTGGGCGCTATACCGGTATGAACGTGACTACCGGTATTATGTTGTCCCATGATATGGATTTTGCCATAAGTGGATAACGTTATATATTCATGAATTCAAATTTTGCATTTATATTGTTTTGTTCAATTTGGTACCCTTTGCAAATGTTAACACATATGGCGATAAAGAGTCGAGGCTGAACGTTTTTGTCCTCTGTGTGCGTGCAACTACTACACAGGCATTAGTAATCAAACACATAGAGCATCGTAACAGACCAAATTAATAGAGCAGAAATCGCCTACTCCAGTGGTTCCCAAACTGAGGGATCGTTTACAGTCAGCAGATTATTTTGCAAAATAAACCTCTGCAGGGTGATAAAGACTACACTGCGTAATTTTCCAGCTTATCATGCGGCCACTTGCGTGATAAGTAAATAACTGAGCTCAAAATATTAATTTGACATATTTTAATGACCTCAACATGACTCTCAGTACCCGCTTGAGCGCTCCGTTATCAGTTGTAGCAGTTGTGGTTGTATCAATAACAGATCACAAGATGGCGTGACTGAAGAATCAGAGTTGTATTGCAGGGAGCCATGTAGAAATATAAATGAACGATGTGTGGTTCTGCTCTGAGCATGAAAGTTACAAGTTTGTGAAAGGACTTCCAGTGCCAGGTAAACGCAATAAACTGATGCCCCGTTCTATTTCTGACGAACTCCAGCACTCTAACACAAAGGACCATTTAAAATATTCATAAGAGAATCGTGAAAAAATAGTTTCCTCCAAAATATTAAGCAGCAGAACAGTTTTCAACATTGATAATATTGAGAAGTGTTTCTAGAGCATCAAATCAGCATATTAGAATGATTTCTGAAGGATCATGTGACACTGAAGACTGGAGTAATGTTGCTGAAAATTCAGCTTTGATCACGGGAATACAGTAGCCTATATGTTAAAACATTCAAATAGATAATTTCAATTGACAATATTTCACAATATTACAGTGTTTACTGTATTTTTTAATAAATAAATGTAGCCTTAGTGAGCATAAGAGAATTACCAAAAAAAAAAGAGGGGATGGGGGCCTTAAAAATATTTTTCATTACAAAAGGGGGGCCTGGCAGAAAAAGTTTGGGAGCCAACCACTGGCCTACTCAAACACAATATTTAATTTAATTTAATTCATACAGGCCTACCTCATGTTGCACGTTTGCACTTTTTGACAAAAAAAAAATGGCACAATAAAAATAAGAATTTTCAGGTCTATGTCCAATCCCTCACTTTTTTATATAAGGTTAAAATATTTGCCTGTAATTTTTTTTTCTCATATCGCAATATAATATCGATATCGCCTGGACAGTGTAAAATATTCCATATTCTTATATACATTTAAGGCGAGACTAGAAAGCAGCAAATTATATTATAGTTCATAGCACTTGTTTTATTAGGTCATGCCCATTTACAAAGCCTTGAAATTTGCAATATTCTGCAATCCTGCAATGCATGTGTTCAAAATCTGCTGTGTCATCTGAACTAACATTTTTCATATATAAAAAGAAAAACATGCTGGTATGATATGGGAAGAAGCTTCTGCTGTATGATTTGATGCACATTCTAACCTCCCCTATAGTGAAAACAGTCTGCCTCGTAATTGTTTCATTACTAAATGTCAATAAGTAAATGTCTTGCCAATCTGTGGTTATTCAGTCATTTGTGTGCCATTACAATTGATTGCTTAATTGGCAGCACAATTACACTGATGCAGTGAAATTCCAGCTATGACTGCATGTGTTATTTGATTGGAAAGGTCATCAGTGGAGAGAGGCCTAGATGACAATGCTCACCACGCTGTTAGTGTTGATGATGGAGGGAGAGAGTGTACAATTGCTCCTCCAGGGTGATGAGAAAATTGAACCATTTGTTTGACATTGTCTTTGAACACCTGTGTGGAGTAAAAAAATGTTTCCTTGTTTCCTTTGCCCTAGTTGCTAGTTTCTTGTCATGATTACCTATTGTTCTTACCTGTGTCCAGGGTCGCATTAAGATCTCACTGGGCCCTTGGGCTATGATTTACTGCATGGCCCCCATTACAATAATGATATATATTTAGCTTTAAATAGGATTTTTATCCTATCAAAAATTTTGATGCACTGAAATTTTATAATTCTTGTTACCAATACCAATATCACAAAAAAAAAATACTAGCTCAAGTAAAACCAAGCTTACTGAACAAGTAAACAGTCACAAATTATAATAGCACAAAGATACATACGAAATCAACCTACTTGAAAAACTTTAAAAAATGAATAAGAAATATTATATTGTATAAAGTAAATGTACAAATAGACTGAATAGTCTTCACTGTATAAATTCAATATACATTAATTCTTACTTATTTTACAAAAGTGATTCAGTCAAGGACAGTGAGTGATTTTCTTTCTGATGTTTGATTTACATTTGACACAAATGACAACATCAGCTTAGGCTGCTTAAAAAACAAGCTTAGTGAAGACAAATAAACAGTCATGAATTACAATAGCACAAAGATACATAAGAAGTCGACCTATTTGAAAAACTTAAACCACTGAATAAGAAATATTATATTGTATAAAGTAAATGTACAAATAGACTGAATAGTATACACTGTATACATTCATATACATTCATTTTTATTTATTTTACAAAAGTGATTTAGTCAAGGACAGTGAGTGATTTTCTTTCTGATGTTTGATTTACATTTGACACAAATGACAACATCAGCTTAGGCTGCTTTTGAGGGATAGTTCACCCAAAAATGAAAATTCTGTTGTTCTAAACCTGTATGAGTTTCCTTCTGCTGTCGAACGAAAAATAATATATTTGGAACAATACTGGTAGCCATACAGTTGCTGGGCCCCCATGACTTCCATAGTATTAAAAAACAAAAAAACAAAACAATATTAGAGTCAATGGCGACCAGAAACATTCTGGTTACGAAAAATCTTTAAAATATCTTCTATGTTGAGGATAACAAAGAAATTCATACAAGTTTAGAACAATTTGGGGC